TTGTGACATTTTCCTCGGTTTTAATAAATGGATTATGATACTGCTGCTTTTGGATTTTTCTTTTCTTTTCAAATGGATCAGGGCAGCTATCCACAATTTTTATCTGGATTATGTCTGTTTCACAGAATCAGCATTCAAAGAAGCAAAGAATTTCTGGTTCAGCTGCTACATTCTACATACAAGGTTCTGGTTCACACATAACACTAAGTCACGGTATAATAAACTATGTGTTAACCACAAGTTGTCCAACAGATCATCAAAGTAAACATGGCTTGCTTCTCAAGGTTGGTTTGTGTTCCAACTGCTCTTGCTTCATATATTTGTAGTGTGGCAAGTGACTGGGATAGGACGGACAAAAAAACCATGGTTAAGGATGGGTGCTGGACTCATGTGTAAAGCCAAGCCATAGCTAAAGCAAACCAAAGTTCACAAGTCAACAAACCATAGCTGCAGACTGTGGTTCATTAGCAGTAAAAAAAATCACATAGCTAAGCTGCTGAGTAGGGATCACACATAACACCAAGCCAAGGTTTAATCAGCCATGGTTTATTGTCATATGCAAACCAGGCCAGTGTTTGTGTGTGTTGGAGGTGGGGGTGGTAAGACAAAGGGTACATGCCTCCCCATCTTAATTCGAGTGAAGGTGCTGAGACATGCCCTCCAACATGCCGCAGAGGAAAATCTTTCGGGGAGACATTCCCACGCGATTCATGTGACTCACACGAAAGCATGGTCCCCCAAAACACGTGTCTTTGGGGGGCTACGTTCTCAACAGAGTCAGGTGACTCATGTTGAGTACACTTCCCCCATAAAATGGGTTTCTTCTGAGGCCACCCTCTTGCAAGAGCCAATATGAGACATTCTGCGATTCAATCAGAAGAACAAGTGGCTTCTGTAAATTCTGGGGTGTCCTGCTCAAATCAGGACAGTTGACGAGTGTGTTGAGATGGCATGAGGATATAATCTAAGTAGGCCTAATCATCAGAAAACAATCAAATCATAGCCTTATTGCCCTTTCGGTCATATTGCAGTGGCAATTCAATACAGCTGATCTTCTTTTCATTTTACACCCCAAATTTAAGTAAGCTGTATTTTAATTACATTCCAATCTAATAGCTGCTTCACTCCCACCCCCCACCCACCCCTGGCCATAATATGAATATGTTTTAATTATCTCTCTAGGTGAAATGTTTTAGAGAAAGGATGCTATTAAAAAGAGTCTCTTTACTTTGTGCAGAATGTTTCATAATTGAAAAGCATAGCTGCCAGCATTTTAGGCATATTTGAAGCCTGAGTTTTATTCAAAAGAGAAATAAAGTCTCCTCCCCACTCCCTGCTAAATAGCCAGAAAACCCACAAAAATCGCATGATCTGTACTAGAAAACAAATTGTGGGTTTAAGGAATAATAAGAAAAAATACTTAGCATTTATATAGCACATTTCAAATGTTCAAAGCACTTTGCAGGAATGGCTTCAATAACACCTTATTATTTTATTTATGATTCATAAAGCGCCATTACTCTGCATTAGTCTACTAGGAGCTGGCAGTGTAAATAATGCTTAACGTGGCCCTGAAACACAGGCAATGTATAAATGTCACTAGTAATAGGGCTGATCTGGATTGGGTTTGGATCTGCCCACCAAAATTGGAGGTGTGTGTATCAGTTCCACCCTCCTAAATGTCAACTTCCCAGGGGGAAAAGAACTCTGCAGCCTCCAAAGTGAAGCTCAGCAGATCCACAAATCCTCAAGGTCCTATTGTGTTCCCAAAGACATTGTTGGGAACATCATGAGGTCTAGATGCTTTCACCTCTTCTGAGTCTTCTTGCCAGAGGTCAGACTCTTCCTGCCAGCTGTGCCACTCGGATGATTCAGTGAGGACTAGCACAAGGCAGTGCACAAGGTCCAGCATGCAATTCAATATTGGGAATATCAAAGAGCCATTGTACACAGAAAGCTAGCATGTCAGGGAGAAGGCTATGCAGACTGCCTTTCCTGAAAAGCTACTTTTCCAAAGGCATTGCGGGCACTTCAGTCATGTGACACCCAGTGACAGGCAGCAGAGCCAAACCAGAATTCCCTCAGAATTCCACTCAGCAAATTTGAGGGTTTCCTAAAAACACACACCCAACAACAGAAACTGGTGTAACAACTGATTTCTGAGTAAATGAATTTCAAGAAAAGCTGTGCTTCTACTACTGTGTTTAAGCCTGTGACATCTTTGTGTTTAAGTAATAATAATAATAATAATAATAATTTATTATTTATACCCTGCCCATCTGGCTGGGTTTCCCCAGCCACTCTGGGCGGCTTCCAACAGAATATTAAAATACAATAGTCTATTAAACATTAAAAGTTTCCCTAAACAGAGCTGCCTTCAGATGTCTTCTAAAAGTCTGGTAGTTGTCTTTCTCTTTGACATCTGGTGGGAGGGTGTTCCACAGGACGGGTGCCACTACCGAGAAGGCCCTCTGCCTGGTTCCCTGTAACTTGGCTTCTTGCAGTGAGGGAACCGCCAGAAGGCCCTTGGAGCTGGACCTCAGTGTCCAGGCAGAACGATGGGGTTGGAGACGCTCCTTCAGGTATACTGGACCAAGGCCATTTAGGGCTTTAAAGGTCAGCACCAACACTGAATTGTGCTTGGAAACATACTGGGCGTTAACTTATAAGTTAACTTCTACCTGAAAGAATGCATCTCTTGACCCAACCTTGTTTCACCAACTCTCTATCTTTTTTGTAAACAAAACTGTTCTTCTTTGATCAACTCCTTCCCGAGACACTCTGAACTGAAGTTTCCCTCACATAAGACAAGGCAAGATAGCCTGTGGTTAAATTGTAGAAATCCATTTAATTGTTGTACTGTGCAGTGTGTCTACTATATTTAATTGGGGGCAGTTAGCGGGGTCAGTCTGCTACACATCCCATGCCTGTTTGCATTCTGAAGTGGTACAGTCCTTGAAGTGCTGTCACAAACAGTTGTCCTGAATGTGGAAACAGCTGCCCAAGGCCTGTGCGAATTGCTGAGAGTTTTAGTCTTAGTCAATGCTCTGACTTAACTGCCTAGGTTTTGCCTTATGCTTTTCTGAAAATGTCTCCCTAGGTACAGTCCAGATCTCTTAGTGGCCAGGCCCAGCCTTTTTGCATTGAACAGGGACATTGTCCGGATCCCACTTAGGTCCCTGAAAATAGTACAGTAAAAATTCATCCCAAGCCACATATAAGCTGCTAAATCATTTCACGTTGTGCTAAAAGGAAGCCCAGCTTTGGAGTATCAGGGATGCTGTCAGTCAAGGGGAATGTGAATAGAATGGCAAAGATCTTGGAGGAAAGGCTGAAGGCAGATTGGCAGAAGAAGATCGGGAAAACAGAGCCACAACACCATCTCTCATTCTTTTGGAATCAAGCTGGAGATAAACAAGCAAATGCAATTGCATAAAAATGAGAGAACAGCAGTTCTTCCTCACCTAGATTTGCAGCCGTTGGTTGGGATAAATGGTTTTACTGCATGCTGCTAATACAAGAGACTTCTGGCTGAGCTCCTGAGACCACACACAGAATAAACTTATCTTTCAAGGCTCCTTCCCAAATTCAATTTCAAGGGAGGATTTGGAGCAGATCTGTAGTCTGACGTTGGTTGTCAGGACCGATATTTTTTGTGCTGGGGTGTGTGTGCCTGGGGTAGGGCACCCTTTGTAAATGTGAAACAAAAGAATGTGAGATCCAAATATCCCAGCACAGCAAGGGAAAGCTGTGTGTATAACCAGGGTCCGAATTGCACAGCTGATTTGAGTGTCTCTCTATTTGCATCAACCTCGTGATCCTCACCAGGGACTCACACTGAACTGGCTGGGTGCATGTTTCAATGGGTGTGTGTGTGTGTGTGTGTGTGTGTGTGAAAGGTTCGTTCCCCCTCTTCTCTCTTGCTTGTGCAATTCTCGTTGCCCATTCTCTCTGGGCACTTCCAGACGGTTGATATTTTCGAGTGGGATTTAATCGCATACTGACAAAGAGAGGTTACACAATTATAGTTGATTTGGTTCTCTTGCACAACCAACTCTCCCCACCTCCCCAGCTTACAAAAAAGCAGACTTTGTAATAAGGAAAGTGAAGGGGGAACATATTGGAAATGGAGGTGACAATTGCTCCATGTGAGGTTTGAGGTTTTGTACAATCCAGCAGTATATAAACTTTATGAAATGAACAAATACACTTTAAAGATCAAATAACTTCTCGCAAACAAATCAGAATGAACGCTCACTAAACAGCTAACATTGCCTAAAAGGTCTAATAATAATAATAATAATAATAATAATAATAATAATAATAATGTATTATTTATACCCCGCCCATCTGGCTGAGTTTCCCCAGCCACTCTGGGTGGCTCCCAATCAAGTATTAAAAACAATACAGCGTTAAATATTAAAAACTTCCCTGAACAGGGCTGCCTTCAGATGTCTTTTAAAAATAGGATAGCTACTTATTTCCTTCACTTCCTTCACAATATGTGGAGGAAGCAAGTTTGTTGTGCAAAAGCTCCACCCAAACTTTAATTGTGCAACCCGAACTTTGTAAAATGTGATGGGATCCCAAAGAAAAATTGCAATGGTCTGAAACCACCCTTCTACTGATTGGGGGGGGGGTCTGGTAACCTGCTGTGAGAAATACCTGAAATTACGTCTTTTGCTCACCTAGTTACACATATGTTTTTTGAATATTTACCCCAGACTCAGATGAATGGCTAGCAAGAACACTCCTGTGCTTTAAACTGTTTATGCTAGAAGCTCCCCTTTGGTGGCACTCCTAAGCGCATCTACTTGAAACCATGTCACAGAGAAACATGCTGAGGATCACGCCATTATTTTTCCAATGGAAACACAATCACTTTAGCTCCATTTAGCTCAAATTGCCTAATGCCAGGTTGTGCTTTTGTTGCATTAAACAAAAGGCTGCTTTGCTAGATCGACTTCAGGTGGGACGTTTTCCAAGACGTCAAACAATACCTCAACAGCTGCTTTCGCTCTTTCAAATTCCTCCTCCATAGAATGATTTCGTGAGAGGAGGGCACCTCCCCAACGTTGCTCTTTGGTTGATCGTGCCTAAAAGAAAAAGTAAAATAAAATGCAGTCAGCACAGAACATTATTTGCTAAGAGTCAACGTCGTGCATTATGAGCCAGCACAGCCAGACGTATATCCATAATGTATATTTAATGCAAATGGCTTCTCCCACAAAAAAACCTCTGCGAACTGGAGTTTACCCCTGACATCTGGATTGTTCCTCAGTCCTGCCTCCTGCTTTGTCCTCTAGTGTATTATTTATTTAAGCAACTTTTTAAATAAAACTGATCTCTATGCAGTACACATAAAACCGTAGTTCTGACTGTTAGAATTCCTGCGCCATGATTGCAGTCATGGGATTTTTGTCTTTCACATGACAGTATATGTTTTGACTCCACAGAGTGGAAAGTGACGGAGACAGGATGTTTGTGTTACTGTGTTCCATGAAGTGGGACTATTGTGCTTTGTCTTTTCCTCTTTGCTGTCTGATGCTAGCGAGAGAGAAGGAGCCATGCTGCAGTGCTCCGTGTGTGTTTATATGTAAATAAAGTAGATTAGCCAAAATGCTGAGTTGCTGAGGTCTGTCACGTGCAAGTTGCGCAAACTCTGCGGATCTCTAAGTGTGCCGGTGTCGGTTGGCATCGGTCGCTGTGATGTTCAGGATGAAGAAAGCTTATGAAGCTGCCAAACGAAAGACCAGGAGGGAGAGAACATGCCAGTCGGGCATGTGTCTCTGCCAGGGTCCTACCCGAGTGTAGGCTGAACTCCTGACACTGACATGTCCAAAGGCTTCTGGTCCCTGGCTCACCTCAGCTGCCCATGGCCCAACCCTGAAATTGTGAGAGAAGATTTTGAGTAGGCAACTAGCCCAGAAGGAAAACCTTCAGCCCCATGTGGCTACTCTTTTGCTCCTGATCATAGGATCATGTCATGGACTGGCTGGAGAGGAGCAGTGGGAGGTACCAGCTGGAGAACCCCCAGGGGAGGAAGGCTCAGAGCCAGGGGGTTGGTGGTGGGATGGCGATATGTGGTCAGAGGGAGAAGAGGGAGCAGACTGAGAGAAGGAAATGTCGGAAGCTGAAGAGGCAGCAGGGTTTAGTGAACAAACTGAAGCTGGGACAGAGAGCACTCCAGAACCTAGAGGCAGAAGAGGAGGGGAGTCAGGAGACTAAGACAAACTGCTGAAGAATCCAGGGAATCTCCCCCTCCTGCTGTGACCAGCTCCCCTTCCCCCTGGTCTCCCAGAACACACAGAGAAATGAAAGGAGCAGAGCAGAGGATTGGTTGCACACAGACACAGTCTCCAATTGCTTCGAAAACCCCCTGGAAAGGAGGGGACTTAGGCAGCTGTGGGAAGAACCTTCAGTCCTCACAACTGCCACACTGGGAAGAGCTGCTGGGATCACTAAGCCTGCACTGTTTTGGTTTCTTTGAATAAAGAGTTAACTTCGCTGACACCGGCGATTTTCAATTGCTGATCTTCACTTGACGCCATTTCCTGAGAGCTCCTTTCAGACAAAAAAGTCAACAAACCCTCAGCAGAGGGGAACATGCATGATGTCATTCAGCCCTCAATATTCAACAGAAGCCCATTGATATTTAAAGGCTGTCTACTGCAGATGCTATCCTGTCTGCTGCAGTTGTCACCCCATTACAAAATCTAGAAGAGTTTCAGCAACCTGGTGCTCTCCAGATATTTTGTGCTACAACTGTCATCAGCCCCAGCTAGCGTGGCCGTGCACTTGTTCACTTCTTACCAGTCAGATAATCCTTTCAAAAAATGACAAAACCAACCGAGGTAGACGTTTGGAAGTGCTTGAACCACAAAATGAAGTTTCCTAAGCTGTTTCAAGAATCTCTGAATTACACCTGAAAGTAGTTCTCAAAATTGCCAGGTGAACTAAAGGTGCATTAGGTTCACTCTGGGGTAGAACTTTGAACAATTTCAAGTTTATCTGCTCCACCCTGTAGGAGGCCTGGTCTCTTAGCTTTTAGTAAATAAAGAAAAGTAAGACAACTGGACTCCTATAAGTTATAAAACAAAACGTAGTGGAGTGTTCCAAGGTTTATTAGGCAGATCCGGAGGTGCTGCTGTTGCTAAGGGTACTTAACCACTTAGTCATTATTGCTAAGCAACCAGAAGGAAGGGATAGGAGCAATTTCCTGTATCTTCCCTGCAATTGAAAAGTATACAAATAGGAACTAATTGAATGGTGCCTTGTGCCTTTAACAGTTGTGTGCCTGGCACAAATTAAGCAATGTTTTCTAGTATGGAAATACTAGAATCATAGCTTCACTAGCTAAAATTATGTCCGGCAGAGATCATATTCCTTGTGTGTGGTCCCTGATTTAGTTGTTGATCCTATACTTCAGCCCAGCAGCTGGTAACACTCAGAATACCGAAGTAAAACTTTTCTGCTGATTCATTATTTTATGAATTAAAAAGTTCACTTAGGTGAACTTGAACTAGTTCATTTTTGGTACAGGATGAACTTGAACTAGTTCATCTTAACGTTCCAAACACCTGAGCTTGCTTGATGGAGCAAAGTTTTTTGCGTTTGCTTTCCATTTTGCCTGAACAGGAGTGATTTGTCATTTCTCTGCTATTCTTGGCTGCTTCCTTTGTTCAGCTTCCTTCCCAGTATTCTCCCCATGGGGAAAGTACAATGCAAGTTTATAAGCACCCTTTCATGAAAAAACTTCTGAATTCATGATCACAGTGAAAAGAAACACCCTCTTTCACTGGGAGGAAAAATAGTGCAATGACCTAAAAAGCCTCGATTCTGCTAAGCTCCTGACCCCACACTTGTCTGAGGTTAAACTCATTAGCCAGATGCCTGCCCAACAGCAGATCACAACAGCTTCCACTTACATAATTATGCATTATTATTATCCTTGGGGGTTATTCAATTGCAATGAGCGGTTTTCATGCTGGCTATAATTTCTGTTGCATTAAAATGAGTCCAGACTGATTTTGGGGGGAGGTGGGGGGTAGGAGGTGTCCATCAACCTTGCACTGAACAGTATTGAAAGAGGAACTGGTCAGAGGATGTTAAGGTTACCAACGTACATGCAATGCAATCCCTACTAGGATCACTTTAAAGTCTAGTTCTATATGTGTCTACCCAGATGTAAGCCCATTGAGCTCAGGGGGACTTACTCCCAGGTAAGCGTGTCTGAAATTATAGTGAAAAAAAATTCCTTCCAGTAGCACCTTAAAGGTAAAGGTAAAGGGACCCCTGACCATTGGGTCCAGTCGTGGCCAACTCTGGGGTTGCGGCATTCATCTTGCTTTATTGGCCGAGGGAGCTGGTGTACAGCTTCCTGGTCATGTGGCCAGCATGACTAAGCCGCTTCTGGCGAACCAGAGCAGCACACGGAAACGCCGTTTACCTTCCCGCCGATGCGGTACCTATTTATTTACTTGCATTTTGATGTGCTTTCAAACTGCTAGGTTGGCAGGAGCAGGGACCGAGCAACAGGAGCTCACCCCGTTGCGGGGATTTGAACAACCAACCTCCACAGCGCCACCCACGCCCCAGTAGCACCTTAGAGACCAAGTAAGTTTGTTATTGGTTACGAGCTTTTGCGTGCATGCGCACTTCTTTAGATCTGAAGAAGTGTGCATGCACACGAAAGCTCATACCAATAACAAACTTACTTGATCTCTAAGGTGCGACTGGAAGGGGTTTTTTTTGTTTTGTTTTTTTTTGTTTTTTACTACAGCAGACCAATGCGGCTACCTATCTGTAACTGAAATTATAGTCTCGGAGTAAAATCGCTTTGCAGCATTTATATAAGCAAAGCATACAGTGTGTTGAGCAGGTTATCTAAGATCCATAATCTAAAAGCTGAGGACATCTGGTGTTTGCATGGTTTTGGTTCTCCCGCGGAACATAGAATTGGCAGAGAATTAAGCTCAGGCATGACACTGACACCTTTCCTTTACAAAATGATGGCATGAGCTCTCTTTATGCACGCCCATCACATTTGGCCAGTCTGCTCCTCGCCACTGCACAGGTTAAATATGGGTAACCTTCACACAGGGCATTGGAGAGGAACGAGACAGTTGGTGCAGTGTAACGACTAAAGGACTGAGCTACAAATTAGGAAGTCTCTGGTTCATATCTTTTCTCTGCCCTGACCTCATTAGGTGGCCATAGGCAAGCCAATCTCTTTCAGCTTCAGTCACCCCCCCCCATCCACCGCACAACATGGGAGATAATATATAGAACTGTTAAGTATTATTGAGAGAAGCATAGATGATGGCCATGTGTTCTGTGTCAGACTTAGGGCTTTTATGGAAAGAGAAGGATGGGAAAGAGCTTCACTGAGCTCTGTGGGACTTCTCACAGGTGGGATGATGGATCATGTCTTTGTAAATGATAAAAGACAAATCAGTAGTTGGGGCAGAGCTGTGAAGCTACCTTCTTGACACCAGAACTGTTGCTTACCTGGATGGGCCAGTGGCAGGGCAGAGGGGCCAATAAGTCAAGGTTGTGTGAGTGCATCAGTGGGAACAATCTGGTGCTCCCGTTGGAGCACTTATGGGGCCCAGACCTTACTACTATCTGTCCCTTCCTGGTGATGTTTGTGTCAGGAGAGCAGGTATGTAACTCTACCACAACACTACATGCCACCACAATTATTTCCATACACTTTCCAAGTTGCTTAAAAGACAGAACGGGAGGATGTCATGCTTGGATTTCCTTGTTCCTGTAATCTAAGCTTGGACAGCTTGGACTACTGCAATGCGCTCTGTGTGGGGCTACCTTTGAAAGTGACCCGGAAACTACAACTAATCCAGAATGCGGCAGCTAGACTGGTGACTGGGGGCGGCCACCAAGACCACCTAACACTGGTCTTGAAAGACCTACATTGGCTCCCAGTACATTTCCGAGCACAATTCAAAGTGTTGGTGCTGACCTTTAAAACCCTAAATGGCCTCGGCCCAGTATACCTGAAGGAGCGTCTTCACCCCCATCGTTCTGCCTGGAAGCTGAGGTCCAGCGCCGAGGGCCTTCTGGCGGTTCCCTCATTGCGAGAAGCAAAGCTACAGGGAACCAGGCAGAGGGCCTTCTCGGTAGTGGCACCCGCCCTGTGGAACGCCCTCCCATCAGATGTCAAAGAAATAAACAACTACCTGACATTCAGAGACATCTTAAGGCAGCCCTGTTCAGGGAAGTTTTTAATGTATGACATATTAGTGTATTTTTGGTCTTTGTGGAAGCCGCCCAGAGTGGCTGGGGAAACCCAGCCAGATGGGCGGGGTACAAATAATAAATTATTATTATTAATATATTATTATTATTATTATTATTATTATTATTATTATTATTACTACTAAGCAAGATGTGGCATCTCTGAGCATTGTGAAGAATAAATGGCAAAGATGATCTCAAAGGAACCACACATGCGGAACTGTGGAATTTTTGACAAGATGAACTCTAGCACTTAGCTCAGCTGCCCCCAACCACCCATGCTGGCTGGAGCTGATGGGAATTGTAGCCCAAAGTAGATGGGGGGGGGCACCATGTTGAGGAAGTCTGGATCAGGTAGATGACAGTTGCATGAGCTTTGAGACCGTAGCTAAATATGAAGGGCATGATTTGCTTTGTGCATGCAGACGAACAATCTGAGAAACAGAGACCCTGCGGGCATCATTTAAAGTGTTTCTAAGCAGCCAAGATGTCAGAGAATCTTTTCAGTTACGCAACGGAAGCTGCAAAGTTCGAATCTGTCACAGCAACACCATATTGTGGGGGCCAGATATAGCAGGCCCTGTCTCACTCCAAAGGAAAAGGCTGCAATTCCGTTCACGGTTGGGCAGTTTAAATCCCACAGAGATAAATAGCATTTAACCAGCATGGACAGCATTACGGCCTGGCAGCCTGACCCTTTGCATGGCGACTCAGCAGTAAATCCCAGAGAGTTCAATGGGGCTTACTTCCGAGTTACAACCTTACTGAGTCACAACTAGGCCTGGCATCTGATAAGCAATACTTGGATTAAAATCCTTTTGATAATATTCTATCAGTTGTTAATATTAATTTAAACGTTCGTGGCATTTTAAACTGTTAAGATTAATAAAAATGCTCAAGATTCAATATGAGGTCCATTTGAAGATTTGAAAAAGGAAACACGCTAGGTGTTAAAAGATGGTCAAATTGCCCAACAAACTAGATGTGTAGCATGTAGTCTGTTTTGCCTTTACACTGGGATTTTGGTGCCTGGGGAGGTGAGGTTAGTTCCCCCACCCCCTAAGGGGGAATTGTTCCCCCCACTCCATGGCTAAGGGGAGGGGTAGGCAAATCTGTCAGTTTCTATCAGTTCCTAATTTTTTCCATTATTACATTTGCCACATTTCTGCAGCCATTCTGTGCTAGTGACAAGAGAAGCCTACATTCCCCTTAAATAAACAGGACAAAACAACAACAACAACAACCCGTTCCCTGAACTTAGAGAAAGCTCCCCTCCGGGTGTCTCAGCACATTTTCTACCTGCAAATCTGAATACAGTGGTACCTCAGGTTAAGTACTTAATTCGTTCTGGATTTCTGTTCTTAACCTGAAACTCTTCTTAACCTGAAGCACCACTTTAGCTAATGGGGCCTCCTGCTGCTGCTGTGCTGCCAGAGCAAGATTTCTGTTCTTATCCTGAAGCAAAGTTCTTAACCTGAAGCATTATTTCTGGGTTAGCAGAGTCTGTAACCTGAAGCGTATGTAACCCGAGGTACCACTGTATGTGAATTTTTCAAAAGAGCAAATGGAATGCCTTTCTGTGAGTCATGTACGGATACAAAAAGGCCTGGAATTATCCAGGAACTATCCCAGGAATTATTCACCCAGATCTATCCCAGAATGCTTCTGTTGTGCAACCTCACTAGGTTGTTGTAAGGGGGGGGGAAAGGGAGGGTGAAGAACTGCGTATACCACTGTGAGCTCTTTGGAGCAGAGATGGGATATGAATGCGCAATAAATAATTTTTTTTTTTAAAAAAAGAGAAAGTAGAAGTCCACTCCTCTGTGTGATGGCACAGCTGATCACCCATGGTCCTCTGTGCTGCCCTTGGCCATGCTGTGCTGTGACCATCAGGTGCTTGGACCTGTATGATAAGCAGCCTGAATTTTAGTTCTATTAAAAGCAATAAAATCCCACCACATTCCTTAAAATGAATGTAAGTACCGGACGTTAAAAAGCTTACCACTTAGGAAATGGGCCAATGTTTTGGTTACGCGGTCTTTTTTTATTTCTTCTGCTTTTTAGTGCTCTTTTTTTTTTTTTACTGCACTATCAATCTTCCAGCATGTCTGCAAGAGCTGAGCTGCAGTCGCTCTGATTTATGCCCATAAGAGTATTTATGGCATGGAAGTGTTGTGTCAAAAAATCTCATGTTTTTCCGACAGCCAACTGGTGGTGATCTCCCCCTCCACCCCCACCTTGCAGTTGACTTTCCAGAGCGTTATATGAAGCAGCACACAAATGATAGAAGCAACAACAAACTGGCAAATCCTGGTCATCTGTAGGATTCATGTCACAGAGAGATAGTCCTAAGTCTCCTCCTTCTAACATAAAAGGTAAAGGACCCCTGACAGTTAAGTCCAGTCGCGAACGACTCTGCGGCGCTCATCTCGCTTTACTGGCCGAGGGAGCCAACGTTTGTCCACAGACAGTTTTTCCGGGTCATGCGGTTCGAAACCCCACAATGGGGTGAGCTCCCGTTGTTCGGTCCCAGCTCCTGCCAACCTAGCAGTTCAAAAGCACGTCAAAGTGCAAGTAGATAAATAGGTACCGCTCCGGCGGGACGGTAAACAGCGTTTCCGTGTGCTGCTCTGGTTTGCCAGAAGTGGCTTAGTCATGCTGGCCACGTGACCTGGAAGCTGTACACCGGCTCCCTCGGCCAATAAAGCGAGATGAGCGCCGCAACCCCAGAGTCGGTCACAACTGGACCTAATGGTCAGGGGTCCCTTTACCTTTTACTAATGGTCAACTAACCTTTTACTAATGGTCAACTAAATAAGCATGGATGTTCCCTCTGCTTAGAGCAGAGAAAAGGCAGAGGGAGTGATGTGCTGAAATCCATCCCCCCGCCAAAGAAATAAATTTAGCTGCTTTTCTCCCGTTGGGGCTGATGGGAGTTGTAGTCCAAAGCAGCTGGAGGACACCAGCTTGGAAAAGCCTTCCTTGAACGCAGAACAAAAGATGCTGACCTCTTACCTTTGGTGCAAGTGCAGGAGCAGGCGCTAATTCTATATCCGAGGCTGAGTCAGATTCCAGTGCGGTCTTGACAGTGGCCAGCTCTGACTGGGACCTGTTCTCTGCAGACCTAAGGGAGGGAAAGGATTTGTAGACCCCATCACTGCAACATTGGCAGAGCAGATGCACTCGGGACAAAAGCAAAATAGGATGCATGCTTCGTGATCCTAGGTATGTGCAAAACAGTGAACAGAAGAACAGAGGAAGAAAGGGCAGTGATATGATTTTGGCACAACTCATTATAATTCCCAGGCTTGTGGTGAGAGAGAAATGGTTCTGTCCTCGCAGATGTTGTAGAGAGGAGCAACAGTAGTGTTTCTGTGAAAGTGAGCAAAGTCAGTAGCAAAGGTGGGTTTTTTGTTTTGTTTTAAGAAAAGCTTTTTGAGGTTGCTTCCGCATCATATGCTTAAAGCAATCTTTCATCAATTTAAGGGAGATGGCTTTCCCCAAAGAACCCTAGAAACTATAGTTTGTTAAGGCTGCTGAGAGTTGCTGTTGTTGTTTAGTCATTTAGTCGTGTCCGACTCTTCATGACCCCATGGACCAGAGCACGCCAGGCACTCCTGTCTTCCACTGCCTCCCGCAGTTTGGTCAAACTCATGCTGGTAGCTTCGAGAACACTGTCCAACCATCTCGTTCTCTATCGTCCCCTTCTCCTTGTGCCCTCCATCTTTCCCTACATCAGGGTCTTTTCCAGGGAGTCTTCTCTTCTCATGAGGTGGCCAATGTATTGGAGCCTCAGCTTCAGGATCTGTCCTTCTAGTGAGCACTCAGGGCTGATTTCCTTAAGAATGGATGCGTTTGATCTTCTTGCAGGCCATGGGACTCTCAAGAGTCTCCTCCAGCACCATAATTCAAAAGCATCAATTCTTCGGCGATCAGCCTTCTTTATGGTCCAGCTCTCACTTCTGAGAGTTGCTAGGAGACCCTTAACAAACTACAGTTCCCAGGATACTGGGGCAGAGGGAAACCATGACTCTTAAAGTGGTATAAGAGTGCATTAAATATACAGTGTGGGTGTGAACTTAAATGCAATTCAATTAGGAATAATGCCCAAAACATTGAAAGATATCGTAAAGTTGTCCCTTTTGCTGCTGTGAGGCTTGCCCCAGTGATCTCTTTACAAGCACCTTTTCATTTCCTAGGAAAGAGTGCTTGCAAAATCTGGAAGCAGCAGATGAACATCTTCGCCCTTCTGCCTCTGGGAATAGTGATGCCAAGAAAGCCATGGGCACATGATGAATTGGCCATCCCTGCCATTAATACATGACAGTTTACTATCCTTTAATGGTAGCTCTGCTAGCTAATATGGTAGCAGGACTGAATTCTAATTGTTGGCACTGTAAACAAGCCAAGGGATGGTTTCCCCATATGTACTGGGAATGCCCAGAGGTAAAGGAATTCTGGAATAAAATCCTAAAGGTTATTAATGAAATTTTTAAAGTGAAGCTTTCAATAGACTTTGATTTCATGACAATGGGTATACTTGGAAACACGGCTATAGAGAAAGGTGACCAGTGTACCTTCAAAGCTATGATATTAACAGGAAAGGCAATGATACCTTTAGGTTGGAAAGACAGAGAAAAAAGGACAGTAGAGGCATGGAACAGTTATTTGTTTGAACTTATTCAGTCGGACATTGTCGCAGTCATGTCACAGGAAACAACGTGGAAGGTCAAGTCCACCACGATAAGGTACAGATGGAACCCCTATCTTCAATGGATAAAAACTACTGGAACAAAAGACATTTGGTGGAAACTAAAGACGCTATGCCCGTGGCTGAGGATAATAGTTTGAACCCTTCCAATGGACCAGGTGCGCCGCCTGGGAGTCATTTTGGACTCACAGCTGTCCATGGAGGCACAGGTCAAATCTGTATCCAGGGCAGCTGTTTACCAGCTCCATCTGGTACATAGGCTGAGACCCTATCTGCCAGCTGACTGTCTCACCAGAGTGGTACATGCTCTGGTTATCTCCCGCTTGGACTACTGCAATGCGCTCTACGTGGGGCTACCTTTGAAGGTGACCCGGAAACTACAACTAATCCAGAATGCGGCAGCTAGACTGGTGACTGGGAGCGGCCGCCGAGACCATATAACACCGGTCTTGAAAGACCTACATTGGCTCCCAGTACGTTTCCGAGCACAATTCAAAGTGTTGGTGCTGGCCTTTAAAGCCCTAAACGGCCTTGGTCCAGTATATCTGAAGGAGCGTCTCCTTCCCCATCGTTCTGCCTGGACACTGAGGTCCAGCTCCGAGGGCCTTCTGGTGGTTCCCTCACTGCGAGAGGCCAAGTTACAGGGAACCAGGCAGAGGGCCTTCTCGGTAGTGGCGCCCGCCCTGTGGAACGCCCTCCCATCAGATGTCAAAGTGATAAACATCTACCTGACATTCAGAAGACATCTGAAGGCAGCCCTGTTCAGGGAAGTTTTTAATATGTGACATTTTAGTGTATCTTTCATCTTTGTTGGAAGCCGCCCAGAGTGGCTGGGGAAACCCAGCCAGATGGGCGGGGTACAAATAATAAATTATTATTATTATTATTATTATTATTATTATTATTATTAGGGGGGAGGGAAAGGAAAAAACTGTACGGAAAATTTAAAATTGGAACGAGATAATATAACGTATGTAAAAATCCCGAAAATAATAATAATCAAAAAATAATAATGGTAGCTCTGAACCTGCTTCCCGAGGCAGGATGCTTCACCCTGCACAACAGCAGGGCCGGCCCTGTTGCAAAAGCTGGTAAGTATGTTTTACCATAGAAATTCTTTTGATGGAGCTCTAGTAGATGAAGGTTTTCTCTCCGGTGCTGGGAAGCCTTTGCTGGCTCTGTCTCCATGAAACTTCACATCATCCCATTTCTCTAGCTGCGCCTGGATATTGACTGAGAAGGAGAAAAGAAAACAAGATCTCTCGCAAGGCCTCAGGAATACATTGCTTTCATTCCAGAGCCAAACAAGTTCAGGGAGGAAAAACAGTCACTCTGTGGAGCTAAAAAACAAATCTCATCCACTCCAAGCTATATGCTGCTCTTATTGTTATCAGTCTTGTTACAGCTAAGGACAAGACGAGCTTGAGAGCCAACAATACATTTGCACAAATGGTCACATTTCACACAGGCATGACACTTTGGGAAATCACTGCGACTTTGCTAAAGGTCATTTCATTCAAAATAGCTTTTGCACCTGCCACTTTCCTAAGCGATGGGGAAGATTTACAGGGACAGTTTCCTTGTGAGGAGAGAGGACTGGAGACATGTGTGTGTTTTGTTGCATCTGTCTCTTTTACAAAAATTGGGTTTAACTCAAAAGCCTCTCCTACTTTCAGCGCCCTTTCTTGCATGCTGAGAAGCTGGGGAGCGTTTTGATGATGATAATGATGTATGTGAATATGCAAAAACATGCAACGACAATCACACTCCCAGGAATACCAATGTTCTAGTGGTTGTCAATTTTTTGAACCAGCAGAATGCATAATTGTCAGGGAACTGCCATCGGAGCTAGAGGCGGAGGGAAGGCTCCAGAGGGATGCCGGAGAGGGTCCCAGCAGGGAGAGAGGCAGCCCAGCTGCTGGGGAAGGAAATCAGTGTAACACCAGTGGAGAAGGGGGGCAGATCGGAGAGGAGGCTCCAGGACTCTTCGCCGGAGACCAGCGGAGAGAGTACGGGTACTCCGCTGCCCACACCTTCCCTGCGCAGAAGACTTCCGTGCAGGGAGAGTAGGAGGAGACTTGGCGTCAAACAGCTTTTATGCTGGAAAAGGTTCAAGAAACGCCCACTGACGGATTCTGCCAGCGACTGAGACAGTCACAATGCTGGAGGCTGTTCAGTCAGAAAGGGTTAACCAGGTAACCTAGCCAGGAGTGGCGGCAACTTACGCACGAGCAATCCCTAAACCCATTACAATAATGAAGGGAATTTTGTTTGTTTGTTCTCACTCTTAACTGGCAGGATACAGTCTTACCTTGCATCCTGAACGCCTTGGTACTCGGACGTTTTGGCTCCCGAATGCCGCAAACCCAGAAGTGAGTGTTCTGGTTTGCGAATGTTCTTTGGAACCTGAACATCCGATGGGGCTTCCGTGGCTTCCGATTGGCTGCAGGAACTTCCTTCAGCCAATCAGAAGCCATGCTTTGGTTTCCAAACATTTTGGAAGTCAAATGGACTTCCGGAACAGATTCCGTTTGACTTCCAAGGTACGACTGTATTGCTCTGAAGCCATTCAGAGTGAGGGCGATACTTCTTGCCCTCATTTTTAAGCTTGGTAACGCTAACTGGGATTCATGGAAGCATGACAAGGAAAATGGTGAGGCAGGGCAGGCGGTAGTTCTATAAATTCTCCCTAGGATGGCTCCAATTTCAAGCCAGAAATTACAAAGCAAATTGGGACAGAGACATACAATCACAACCCTCAAATGCCTATCGGAGACTTTTTAGCAACCTTTCCCAGCTTAGCTCCCAAATTCAAGAGTGTTTCCTTGTGGGCCTTGCCTTGAGGGTAGGTGTGACGGCAAGTACCTTCCAAGGTGTTCAGCTTTTAAAGAACTAGATGAAGCACAGCAGGTATTGGCAGAAAAGCATTCCGAGCAGAAAGGAAAGCTAAAGAAAAAGTGCAACTACATGAAAAAGAGTTCTAGGGCCAAGCTGGCGCTGTGAGCAGCTGTTTCCAAATAAAGGCCTGGAGGAATTGAACTGGATGTCTGCTGTGAGGCTAGCAGAATCACAGAGTTGGAAGGGATCCCAAGGGTTATCTAGTCCAATCCTCTGCAGTGCAGGAATCAATGCAGAAAGTACTGCTCTTTCAACTAAGTAGGGATCATTGTATCATTACACCTGCACCATGCATTTAAGGAATTATCATACCACTTTAACAATCATGGTCCCCAGCCCCCAATTCCTGGAAAGTGTCATTTGTAAAGGGTGCTGAGAGTTGTTAGGAGACAAAGGTACAATGCAGCCTAGGACTCACATATCTACGGGACCACCTCTCCTGGTATGCCCCGCGGAGGATCTTAAGGTCCACAAATAACAACACTTTGGAGGTCCCAAGTCGCAAGGTGGTTAGGTTGGTCTCAACTAGGGCCAGGGCCTTTTCAGTACTGGCCCTGACTTAGTGGAACGCTCTGTCACAAGAGACTAGGGCCCTGCGGGACTTGACATCTTTCCCCAGGGCCTGCAAGACAGAGCTGTTCTGCCTGGCCTTTGGTTTGGACTCAGTCTGACCCTTATGTTTCCCACCCCTTGTGGTTTTGATCTACGGGCTACTTTTAAAAGGAGGCTGCATTTTAAATTGCATTTTAACCTGTATTTTAAATTGGTCCCCCCCATTATGTTTTTATTGTAATTTTATTGGTGTTAGCCGGGGGGGCGGGGTATGAATAAAATGTATTATTATTATTATTATTATTATTATTATTACCCAGAGTTTTCTGAGAAGAGGGATTCATCATGGAATTGTAGGGGAATAGGGGTCACGTAACAACTCTCTGCGTGTAGGGGACACGGGTGGCGCTGTGGGTAAAAGCCTCAGCGCCTAGGGCTTGCCGATCGAAAGGTCGGTGGTTCGAATCCCCGCGGCGGGGTGCGCTCCCGCTGCTCGGTCCCAGCGCCTGCCAACCTAGCAGTTCGAAAGCACCCCCGGGTGCAAGTAGATAAATAGGGACCGCTTACCAGCGGGAAGGTAAATGGCGTTCCGTGTGCTGCGCTGGCTCGCCAGATGCAGCTTTGTCACGCTGGCCACGTGACTCGGAAGTGTCTTCGGACAGCGCTGGCCCCCGGCCTCTTAAGTGAGATGGGCGCACAACCCCAGAGTCTGTCAAGACTGGCCCGTATGGGCAGGGGTACCTTTACCTTTACCTTTAACAACTCTCTGCACTACAAACTTCAGCTCCCATGATTGTTTGGGGAAAGCCATACTTGATTAGAGTGGTACAATACTGCTTTAATATATGGTGTGGATGAGGCCATAGAGCAGGAGGGCACACTGCAGACCGTACAGTCTAAGGTCCCCAGCTCAATGCAGGGAATCCAGAGCATGAGTGTCCCCAATAGATGGCTATCCACTCTCTGCTTCAAGACCTCTAGTCTACCATCCCCTAGCTCTGATTCCTTGTATCAGGCTTAGCAATTGCAGAGGCTTCCTACCACTCACTAACCAGAGGGCTCAACATCACGTACCACTACTGCATGCCCTCCAGCTACTCAGTTGTAGTTCAGCAACATCTGGATGGCCAAAGGCACCCCACATCTGCATGCAATGGGTAGCTCGCCAGGCTGTGTTCCAGCCTGGCTTCCTGAAGCCCAAGCCCTGCAGTCAAGCAAGGCCTCAAAGTGTGAGGGAAAAGCAAAGCATGTGAAAAATGGGGAAGCTGTAGCTGGTGATCGAAGATGCTAAGTACCTAAATCCAATGACGACTTCTCGGGAGCTCTGGCAGGCTGGATTTTCTGCTCAGCATCCACACTGATAAGGTCTGGATTGTCTGGCTTTTTCCTGTGAGTTGAAGCCTTCAAGCTTTCCCCTCTTGAGGAATTCTCCAGCTTTTTCACTTTGTTTTGGGTTTGGGAGACTGGTTCGCTCAGGTCCAAGAGATCCAGCCCTGTAGACAAAACTATCGCAGGCCCAACATAATGAAACCGTTTTAGGCACTTGCTTTTATTTGATGTGGCATTTCCAGCGTCTTAAGAAGAAATGTGTTAAGGGTAAATCAAATTCTCAGACCTTAGAGCAAGTCAAGCTATATGTGACACACAGGTGAGTGGGGATTACACATCTCCTGTATTTGGACTGGGTGGTCTGCCCTGTCCAAATTGAAAGGACAACAAGGGTGTGCTTATGTATCATATCTAATATGACTTCACAGCTAATAGCAGCTCCATTTACACCAGGGAATCAATTTTGCAGGGTTGGTGTGTGTGTTAAGGGCTAATTCCTTCTCCCTATTCTGATTCAAATCAGCTGCTTCTCTGGCTACTGTTGCCTTAAATAAATGCTGATTTAATTTTCCACAAGTAGAACTAAAATGTCAAACAATGGGATCAGCCAAATCATATGGAATACCATATAGCTCTCCTGAGTCTGTAATGGTGCAGTGAAGGATTACTTTTTCTCTGCATGGAGAAAATAAACACACCACGATGCAGGGTTCCATGCGTCTGCCCACTTCCACTTTCATTTGTTTCTTAAAAAGTGGAACATTCAAACATGTAATCCCTCTCTTGCTGCCTAAAGTGGAAGAGTGAAACCATATGCTTTTTCTGCACATGTAGACTGGACATTAGGCAGAGGAATTATAGCTTGGTGCAGGTGTGGAGCTGAAGCCACCATCATTCTTCCATTTGCACTAACAACCGTGCCAAACTCCAGCATTTTATATATTTGGGTGGCAAGGTGCACCCATGGGCAACACACCTCCAGTGTGCCCTGAAAGTTGCCACCTTTGCCACCATGGTTCACCTGTTTACCTATGGACCCATAGAATCATAGAATCATAGAGTTGGAATAGACCACAAGGGCCATCGAGTCCAACCCCCTGCCAAGCAGGAAACACCATCAGAGCACTCCTGACATATGGTTGTCAAGCCTCTGCTTAAAGACCTCCAAAGAAGGAGACTCCACCACACTCCTTGGCAGCAAATTCCACTGTCAAACAGCTCTTACTGTCAGGAAGTTCTTCCTAATGTTTAGGTGGAATCTTCTTTCTTGTAGTTTGGATCCATTGCTCCGTGTCCGCTTCTCTGGAGCAGCAGAAAACAACCTTTCTTCCTCCTCTATATGACATCCTTTTATATATTTGAACATGGCTATCATATCACCCCTTAACCTCCTCTTCTCCAGGCTAAACATGCCCAGCTCCCTTAGCCGTTCCTCATAAGGCATCGTTTCCAGGCCTTTGACCATTTTGGTTGCCCTCCTCTGGACACGTTCCAGTTTGTCAGTGTCCTTCTTGAACTGTGGTGCCCAGAACTGGACAATCCATGCTACTGGCCAGAAGGAAGGGACAAGGCAAGTGGAGGCTGCTGCCCTTTCTGCTGCCTCCTGTCTTTTCCTGAATCCCTGGAGACAGAAGGGGAGCCAAGAAGCAATGGCAAAAAGGAAGAGGAAGGGCTGGACTGGGGAACTCCAGGAGGGTCAGCAATGAGATCCCTGTTGAGGGGTCAGCAGGTGTCTGATGTTACCAACCACTGACATCAGCCTTGATTATCAATCCATTTCCCTTGCAGTTGGTAGTTTGTGTTTCCATATCAAGGATTAGCAGCGGAGTGGTTTGGCGTTCAAAATGAATTGGAAAATATCGTTGTAAAAACACTGCATTGTTAATGAGACTCGAGGGCTCATTAAGAAACAGTTATTAGATTCCATATGACAATAGGAATGATTGTGAGCATTGTGTTTAATTAAATCTTGCATTTTCTGCATATTGTTTTAGGGGAGTGCATTAATTAGGGATGCAGATATACATAATCAGCCGGCCCAATGTCAGAATTGGTGTATTTAGCCATTTGAGTTGATGCATGTTTTAACCTTGGATTTCCCTGTCTCCTCCATTGGGATTGTTTGTGTTTCTTTTATACATTGGGGGTTTTGGGTTAAAAAAAATGTAAAAACAACTCAGAAATCTTTGGGCATAATCACTCTTAAGACACAATAACTCCAGTGGAAGAGTATGAGGTAGTGTTGTCCAAACTTTTTTCAAAGAGGGCCAGATTTGATGAAGTGAAGGGCCGTGAGGGCAGACCAAAGGGCCAACCGAAGTTGTTGACCTTTTTTTTAGGATTAAGGAATTAAGGAAATAAACTGCCACAGGGACCAGATTAAACCAACCGGCGGACCAGACTCCTTGGCAGGTTTTGAATAAACATACACAAATTTAGTGACTGATAACATGGTAGATAGATAATATAAGGGTTGATATATTTTTATAATATGCAGAGAATAACATGTGCTGAGAAATCAGACAGAGGAGCTGAGGGAAGTCTCAGGGGGGAGGGTTTGATGGGGAATGGGAAAAAAGGAGAAAAATAATGTATATGATATGTTTTGATACATTGTTATGTTGAAATTGTTAATAATAATAATAATAATAATAATAATAATAATAATAAACCAACCGGTGGGCCGGAATAGGCCTCCGAAACAGACTTTGGACATGCCTGATATAAGGCATGTGGTTAACTTTGCTATTCAAATCAGTGCGACCTATGAAGGCTTAACTTTGGCTGGCCTTTCCCATAGGGTTGCACCACAGCACCATACTAGTAGAGCATCCGATTTGCATGCAGAAGAGCAGAGGTTCAGTTCCTGGCATCTTCAGGCAGGGCTGAGTGACTCCACTGGCACTGCCCGAGATCTGAAGAGGCGCTGCTAATAGACAATACTGAGCTAGATGAAGCAAAGGTCTGACCCTGGCAGCTTCCTGTATTCCTATGTAACCTCTGTGGCCTCAGTTTTAAGGAGATACCAAATTCTGTTTGTCATTCGAAGGCATGCTCAACACCAGAGTATTTTCGTTTTGTTTGCTGTGCAGATTGTGCACTTTCACAAACAGCTTCATGCGATGCCTATTTTGTGAACACCAGTACCCTGGTCCAGTAAGGAGGATCTGACCACATGTAACCAATGTGGATGAAGATATTCATGAGCATTCTTATCACCTCTGTTTGCCCCACTGCTTTCCTCTGGGGAAACCTGATCTTTAGCGCTAAATTGGAACAAACAGCAATTAAGTGAGGTAGGAGAACTTAGGGGGGGGGGAGACAATATATTTCACATCTGGCAACCGATGAGCCCCTTTGGTTTCAGATAGTACATGGGTAGATGAGTCTATAAAGCCAATTTTTTAATAACTCTGGAAGCGTATGAAAAATTGTGCACTGGGCTTTTTAGACTCATACCCATGTACTATCTAAAACCAAAGGGGTACATTGATTGTCAGATGTGATTCCCCTCCCCCCCCAGCTCTCCTACCCCACTAATTGGGTTTTGCATGGATTGCTGTTTGTTCTGATTTAGCTCCTAAAAGTGGGTTTTCCGGTGTGGAAAGGCAAATGGAGAACTGAAGCAGAAGAGTTTGGATTTGATATCCCGTTTTATCACTACCCAAAGGAGTCTCAAAGCGGCTAACATTCTCCTTTCCCTTCCTCCCCCACAACAAACACTCTGTGAGGTGAGTGGGGCTGAGAGACTTCAAAGAAGTGTGACTAGACCAAGGTCACCCAGCAGCTGCATGTGGCGGAGCGGAGATGCGAACCCGGTTCCCCAGATTACGAGTCTACTGCTCTTAACCACTACACCACACTGGCTCTCTGCTGGGACTCGTGCCTAGAAAGAACGAGACGAGTGGGAAACCACTCGGACCCATGCTTCCTAGGTACAGGACAAACAGAAAGGTGGATGAGCCCTAGGTCCCAACCAACCGGATGGATGCATCTTGTGACATAGAGGGTGATATGCACCCTCACGCCTGTAAATAACTAGAGTAGAATTGAAGCCCTTCATTGAAATCCTAAACAAAACGACTGGTATTCATTCCCCAGTGGGACTTATTTTTAAGCAGCTGTGTTTCTAAGCAAGTGTCAGGGGTTCAGGGAGAGAGGCACAGATGAGGGAGGAGACTGAGAGCGAGGGGGAAGAATCCAGGAACGAGGAGGAGGAGGATGACAATGACTTGAGGGCTTCCATGAGTCTCTCAAGTGAATCGGAGGATTCCCAAAAGGGGGCGCCCCTGGTCAGGCCAAGGGGAGCCACAGGGGGGACTCGTCAGGAGCAGGGGAGCAGCAGGGAAACCCCGAGTGGGAGTGGGAGATCGGGGCCGGCTTCCCAGCCGGAACGGAGTGAAGAGGGTGGAGTTCCCAGTGTGACACACGGAGCAGAGCAGGAAACAGAGAGGGGAAGGAGATCGGGGCAAGACGTCCTGCCGGAAGGGGCGGAGAGTAGTACAGAGAGTAGTATAACTGTCAAGAGGAAGGTCAGGGGTAGCGAACGCGCGCCAAGTTCAAATGTGGAGGCGCGCGGAAATGCGGAGAGCCCGGAGGAGGAGCCTGGTCCCAAAGCACGGAGGAGGGGGGAGCAGGCGTCTGGGGACTCAGCGTCAGGGGAAAGCAGGAGGGAAGGAACCCAGGGGGGCAGAAAGACCCTGCGGAAAAGGAAGGACAGGAAGAGGTGGACTAGCACAAGCCTCTTAAACTGGTGTAGAGGCGGGACTGATTCAGAGGGGACTTCAGCGGTCTAAGCGTAACAGACGTGGGGCTGCGCGCCTCGGCTGTGGAACAAACAATGTACTTCAATAAAGACTTTTGTAAATAAAGTGGACTTGGCGTTGGTCTCTTGTGAGCTGGGACCTGAGGCGGCCCTGACAGCAAGCATCACTAAGTAAGCAAGTCCAGTAAGGTAGAGCCACCCTCCCGACACCTACAATTCCCAGTACCCTCAACAAACTAAGATTCTTTGGGGGGGGTGAGTATACTACTGTTGGACAAAACCCCACTTGCTTGGCCCCAGTGTCATTCAGAAAAAAATGAAGCTGTGTGGGATTCTTTTAGGTGACATTCTGAAGCTGTTTCCCCTACCCGTTTTGCTGATGCTGTGAGTTTATTCCCTCCCCTCCCAACTCGCTCGACTTTAACGTGTTTGAACATCTGTGTCAGTGTGGCTTAGCTAAGTTGGCATATACATGGTTCGTAAGAGGATTTCGACAAGCTCATGAAAGGCATCAACAGTTATTAAGCAGAAAAGAGGATATAGAGGTCGTATACAGGATGTCCCCAAACCTCTGGGACTGGTAGAAAAATGGGGAGTGACTGACAAACGATGGAAGACGTCTGAATGTTTCATGGCATCTCCTTCCTTTTTGCAAAAATATAGATAGATGCTAGGCTGGATGGATCTGTGGTGTACCAGAGTTTTGTGGTCATTTTGGTATTGGCTATATATCAAAAATGCAAATGTCTCTTTTCCCAGTGATAGACATGAGAAGAGGTCAATTAGGGTTACCCCAACTTTGTGCAAATCTCTGGGTGAATTACAGACACAGTTAAAATGCAACCATCAAATTTAACATTAAAGCAACAATATCCCCAAATATACAGATTAGGGGGTCAAGCCTTTAGTATGGCAGGCTTGCCCTGTGGAACACTTTGCCACTAGAGGTTTAGCAGGAACTGTCTCCCTTCAAATTGTACTGTTCAGACAGACCTTCACAATATGACTTTCTCTTATTAACCAACTGATACCTGTTTTATTGATTTATTATGTTTTATGGTTATTTATAGGCTGGCTTTATTATGTTTTGTATGTTGTGAGCTGCCTCGGTCAGCTTTACGAAAGTGCAGAGTAGAAATATTATCTGTTCACTGCATGTCTACCCCACCTCTTCTCCAAGGAGCTCAAGCTGGTTTACATGGTCCAACCCTTCCTCAGACAACCCCTACAACAATCCTGTGAGGTAGGGTAGACCGTGACTGGCCCAAGGTCGCCCCGTGAGCTTCATGGCTCAGTGGGGAATTTGAAGGCTGGTCTCACAGGTCCTAGTCCAACACACTAACCACTGCACCACACTTAAAATCTATCTATCTATCTATCTATCTATCTATCTATCATCTATCTAATCTATCTATATCTATCATCTATCTATCTATCTATCTATCTATCTATCTATCTATCTATCTATCATCTATCATCTATCTATCTCTCTATCATCTATCTATCTATCATCTATCTATCTATCTATCTATCTATCTATCTATCTATCTATCTATCATCTATCTATCTATCATCTATCTATCTATCATCTATCTATCTATCTATCTATCTATCTATCATCTATCTCTATCATCTATCTATCTATCTATCATCTATCTATCTATCTAATCTATCTATCTCTCTATCATCTATCTATCTATCTATCTATCTATCATCTATCTATCTATCTATATCCATCTATCACCTATATCATCTATCTATCTATCATCTATCATCTATCATCTATCATCTATCATCTATCATCTATCTATCTATCTATCATCTATCTATCTATCTATCTATCTATCTATCTATCTATCTATCATCTATCTATCACCTATCTATCTATCATCTTTCTATCTGTCTGTCTATCTGTCTGTCTGTCTATCACCTATCTATCTATCTATCTATCTATCTATCTATCTATATCTATCTATCTATCTATCTATCTTTATCTATCATCTATCTATCTATCTATCTATCTTTCATCTATCATGCTATCTATCTATCTATCATCTATCATCTATCTATCTATCTATCTATCTATCTATCTATCTATCTATCATCTATCTATCTATCTATCTATCATCTATCTATCTATCTATTCTATCATCTATCATCTATCTTATCTATCTATCTATCTATCTATCTATCTATCTATCTATCACCTATCTATCTATCATCTTTCTATCTGTCTGTCTGTCTATCTGTCTGTCTGTCTATCACCTATCTATATCTATCTATCTATCTATCTATCTATCATCTATCTATCTATCTATCTATCTATCTATCATCTATCTATCTATCTATCTATCTATCATCTATCTATCATCATCATCATCTATCTATCATCTATCTATCTATCTATCTATCTATCTATCTATCTATCATCTATCTATCTATCTATCTATCTATCTATCTATCTATCTATCTATCTATCTATCATCTATCTATCATCTATCTATCTATCTATCTATCTATCATCTATCTATCTATCTATCTATCTATCATCTGTCATCTCTATCTATCTATCTATCATCTATCTATCTATATCTATCTATCATCTATCTATCTATCTATCTATCTATCTATCTATCTATCTATCTATCTATCTATCTATCTATCTATCTATCTCTATCTATCTATCTATCATCTATCTATCTATCTATCTATCTATCTATCTATCTATCTATCATCTATCTATCTATCTATCTATCTATCATCTATCTATCTATCGTCTATCGTCTATCCTCTCTCTCTCTCTCTCTCTCTCTCTCTCCCTCTCTCCCTCCCTCTCCCTCTCTCTCTCCCTCTCCCTCTCCCTCATCTATCTATCATCTATCTCAAAGAAACAGTGATAAATTACATTCCCTAAGAAACACTCACCTGAACGAAAAGGAAAAAGGCCACAGCTCAGTAGCAGAGCACTTTTTATGCACACAGAAGGCCCCAGATTCAGTCCTTGGCAACACCTGTTAAAATGCCAGGGTAGTAAGTGACATGAAAGGGCTCTTCCAGAGACCCTGGAGGGACACTGCCAATCAAAGCAGACAACACTAGGCGATTTGCCTGACCCGTCATAATGCAGCCTCCTGTTTCTCCCAGACGGAGATAAACAACAATGGAAAGGTTTACTGAAGTCCATGTTAAGGACAAAGCAAGCTGCCATACTCTAAACCACACTACTGGTCCATCTAGCTGGATATTGCCCCTGTTGGATGGTAGCTCTTCTCCAAGGTATCAGACAGGAGACCCTTCCCCACCTACCTGAAGATGCCAGGGGCTGAACCTGGGTCCTTCTGCATGCAATATATATGGTTTATCACAGAGCTATGGGCATTTCCCCTTCCGGAAGTGAACTTCCTGGCCTAAACATTAGGTCATCTTTTTCTAGTCTGGCCCTGACACCTTGTATGCCAAGTAACCCTTTGTCAATGTTCTGACTCTGCAGCCCTCAAGGTTGTGCTGCTCAGATCCTCCCCTTCCTCGGTGCCTATTTTGAATTCTTGAAAGCAGCAGTGAATTCTTCTTCTTCTTCGTTTTACTTAGCATAAGAACTGCCTTCCTAGGTCAGACAAATAAAGCATCCAGCCCGGAATATCGTCTCCAGTAGCAGCCAATAAAAGCTCTTAGGGGAGATGCACTCAGCGGCACAAAGCAGTCTTCTGATGGAGACTTATAGATGTTTTAGAAGTGATGACTTGCCCCTCAACCCTCTTAGGTAAAATTTCTGTTTGAAAACAGCTTTTATTCCTTCGTAGAGGGAGAGAAGGTAGCTGATAAATGGCTTTCGAGGGAGAGAAGAAGCAATGGGCACCAGGAAGTTAGCAGAAGAAGATGATGCAACAGCAGATATATTTGGACAAGGAAGCAGAAGATTAAGTCAAGATCAAACACATGAAGACACAGAGAACAGAGGACTATGGCGAAGGATGGGAGTCAGATGAAAGGCTAAAAATATGAAAGTAGGTCAAAAGACAGATGTAAATGTGCCTCACTTTTTCCTTTTCAAGGGCAGTTTGACCAGCAATTAGGCCAAGGATGGGGAACTTATGGCCTTTCAATTGTTGTTGGACTACAACTGTTGTAATGCCTAATGACTGGCCATACTGATTGGTGCTGGCAAGAGTCTGACAACTGTTGGAAGCCTAACAGAGGGATCATTCACTTAGTAAACTAAGGGTTAATTTTGTTGACAGGGAGCTAACCAAGAGAGGTGGTGACAGTGGAGATGTTTCCTAGGAACCCGTCAGAATGGCGTGATACTTGCTGAGGTACCGCACACTCTGATTGGCTGTGTAGTTCTGACGGAGTTTTCTCCTGTGCGTGTAGTTGTAAGTCTTCCTGCTGTGAACAAGGCCTTCATATTATCTACAGCTTTTGTTCCTTTTACCCAGCAAAATATTATCAGTTTCTTTTGCATTCTGGACTCTGCCTGCAAGTGGCTCTGCTAACAACACCAGTTTGCCCTTCCTTGAATTAAGCCTTCAGTTGTGTGTGTGTGTGTGTGTGTGTGTGTGTTTGCATCCCTTTCTATTAGGATTATGCTGGACACACATAACTCTCCACTTCAGGAGCTTTTGAAGGGTGGTGGAGTAGGGGAACAGCTAAATGCCAGACAACATCCAAGAATTGCTTTGAACATGACCAACAGTAGTAGAACTTTCAGTTACCTGCTGTATTTGACGTCACAGGCCTTGCAATGGCTTCTGATTTGGTTTCGCAAAGAAAGTCATCGATGGAGGGGCTCAGGAGGGGTCTGCTTTCTTGTTGCTCATTCACCAGCTAGTGACAGAAAAGCAAAAGTGGATGTGTGTGTTTGTGTGTGAGTCTCTCGAATGGCCGAACTATGCATAAGAAGTCTTTCGAAAGCACAAAACAAAATGGATATAGCAATTGGGTGTGAGGCAGCAAATAAAAAGAGAGACACCATTAAGCAATACCTACGACACTCAACTTTAGATTTCAGCATTATATTCAGAATTCGAAAGAAATGTTTTACACAATTTATGACCAAATTAACCCAGATTTTGCATGGCACTTCAGTAGCTGGCAGATACATTTTTGTATTTGTTATTTTCCACCTGGTAATTAGTCAGTGTTGTAACATGCCTTTGCGTCTGAAGTGACCTTCCTCCACCAGATGTTGTTGGACCACAACTCCCATCAACCTCAGCTAATATGGCCAACGGGGGGCACCAGGTTAGAGTTGTTTGCCCAACAGCAACATCTGCAAGGCACCAACTTGGGGAACACTGCTCTAGATTACGCAAGAAACTTCAGGAAGTCCTCCAACTCAGGCTAGAAATGCAAAAGAAGAGTCGCATCAACACCATACATTTAAAACACTTTATGCCATTTCAACAGTTACGGCTCCCCCTGTAAAAAAGAAGAAGAAAAGACAATGGGAACTATAGTTTTTAAAGGGTGCTGGGAGTTGTAATTCTGATATGTTTTCCAACAACTCTCAGCATCCTGTATGGTGTGGATGTGACCATGGGGGCAGGGATGTGCTTGCGGCTTTCTTCTCATCCAATTTAGCTGTACAATTGCCTAAGTAAACAAAAAGCGAGCTTCCAATTTGGACTTTGAGGACATTTGAGATGAGCTAAAGGGCAGCAAGGGACGCGGGTGGTGCTGTGGGTAAAAGCCTCAGCGCCTAGGGCTTGCCGATCAAAAGGTCGGCGGTTCGAATCCCCACGGCGGGGTGCGCTCCCGCTGCTCGGTCCCAGCGCCTGCCAGCCTAGCAGTTCGAAAGCACCCCCGGGTGCAAGTAGATAAATAGGGACCGCTTACTAGCGGGAAGGTAAACGCCGTTTCCGTGTGCGGCTCTGGCTTGCCAGAGCAGCGATGTCACGCTGGCCACGTGACCCGGAAGTGTCTCCGGACAGCGCTGGCCCCCGGCCTCTTGAGTGAGATGGGCGCACAACCCTAGAGTCTGTCAAGACTGGCCCGTACGGGCAGGGGTACCTTTACCTTTACCTTAAAGGGCAGCAAAACACCAGTGGATATAAAGTAGGGTCAAACCTGACTAACTGCTGGGTGGAGAGCAAACCAGGGACTCCTAGCAGCATAACCAAGCAAAGAGTTGGGGATGCAATCCATATAATAATAATAATAATAATAATAATAATAATAATAATAATATATTATTTGTACCCCACCCATCTGACTGGGTTTCCCCAGCCACTCTGGGCGGCTTCCATAGAAACCAAAAATATACTAAAATATCACACATTAAAAACTTCCCTGAACAGTATGTTGAAGACGGCATACATGCCTTACATTTAAAGCACATGGCTTCCCCAAAAGAATGCTGGACACTGTAGCTTTTTAAGGATGCTGGGAATTTTAGTACTGCAAGGGGCAAACTCTTTCTTTGGAGAAAGCAATGGGCTTTAAATGTACACTGTGAACGCAGCTCAGCAGATCTCAGAAACCCCCTTTCAGGGTTTTCAAGGACCGCTTGACTAGGACACTCCAGTCCTTCAACACCAATGGCAGACATACGCGGCCACGGACTGTAAATCTGGAAGGCACCAGGTTGGCAAAGCTTGCTAGAGCCAAATGCCAAACTCATTCTTTGAGTGTGGATCCTTATTGAGGGACAATGGGACCATCCTCACACAAGCCACCAGGCTTGGGAAGAGCTAAAGAGCTGCAAGAGGACCATTGGGGTTTTGTTTTTAAAGGGGTGGGACTGGGGGTGAGAGCCTCAAAAACAATCCACAGTGGACTGACCAAGCAACTCTATGTGCCGGTGGGGTGCGGAGGATACAGGAAATTAGGGTGTCATGGGGAAAGATCCTGCCTGGAATCCCAAACAGTAGCTTTCCGCACAGCAACATTTTCTCACAGTCCCCACTTGCCTGTGATCATTGCAATCCTTTATATTTATGTATACAGGCTGTGAATGCCTTGTGGAGATTTGCTGTCGTAGATGGGAAGAAAAAGGATACATCAATCTCTCCCTCCTGTTACCATCCATGGGTGACCTGCACACCCATCAGGCTCTGGATTGCACATCAATGTGCTAAACCATCAGCTCCAGTGCACATGTGGGAATTTGGATGGGCAAATGGTGGCTACATTGCTCACTTCAGGGCCAATAAATGCTCTGCGCATGTAATTGTACTGAAACAATTGCGACATTCCTTATGCCTATGAAACTACATGGCCACACCAGACCCCCTGATGTGGAACACAGAGTTTACTGAGAACCCTCAACCTGCTTCTGAGTTTTCATTGATTAGCTGTCCTACTTTTCAATCTATTATTCAACTCATTAAGTGGCTAAAATAAATCATTTTGTGGCACTATGCTGAGGCTATTGAATTAAGATAACTGCTTCATCTCATGAGTGAACATAACCAGATAATATATTATTTTGAAAGGTCATCTTAGAAGAAATTTGTTGTACCATGATACTGTTTGCCACCAGGTGCCAACTGTTGTTGTTTGTAAAGCATTTTTAAAAATAAACAGATCTGCTGATGGAGTGACAACAGTTTTATCCGCAACTTTAACGGAATTCTGCCATTTCAAAAATAAATAAAGAATGCTAGAGAGACAATGAATAATGCCATGTTTTGAGGTGGAAAAACAACTGTTTAGCTCTACTGTGGAACTCTATGGGCTGCATAAATCAAGGGTAAGAGCAGAACTTTCTTTCAGCCTGAACTCGCTGCAACTCAGTTCTGGCATGTCTCAGGTGGTCACCATTGCCATTATAAGAGAACAAGGGCGTTCCGGCACCTCTTTTTCTAGAAAAATAGCGCTGGGTAAGAGGAAATGAAAGGGACGTGGGTGGCGTGTGGGTTAAACCACAGAGCCTAGTACTTGCTGAGCAGAAGGTCGGCAGTTCGAATCCCCACAACGGGGTGAGCTCCCGTTGCTTGGTCCCTGCTCCTGCCAACCTAGCAGTTCGAAAGCATGTCAAAGGGCAAGTAGATAAATAGATACCGCTCTGGCGGGAAGGTAAACGGCGTATCCGTGCGCTGCTCTGGTTTGCCAGAAGCGGCTTAGCCATGCTGGCCACATGACCCAGAAGCGGTACGCCAGCTCCCTCAGCCAATAAAGCAAGATGAGTGCCGCAACCCCAGAGTCGGTCATGACTGGACCTAATGGTCAGGGGTCCCTTTACCTTTAAGAGGAAATGAAAGGTTGGGAAATGGCTTGGGTAAAGATAGCGAAGAGAGTTTCCTGAGGGATACCAGTGCAGAGGGCAATATGGAAGTCAGCTCCAGCAACAATGTCAACACAACTCTGGGCTGTGTACAAATGTAACACGATTCATTGCTCATATCCTGAGCCTTTAACCTGCACTGGTTGGTGAAAGGGGATGACTTGCAACAGATATGAATTTCCCAAATGAGTTGCTTGAGGCACGCCTTCAATCACCAACTAGCTTTGCCGGAAAACCTATCCACATTGGCCAAGGTGGGACCAGTCCATTCAGACCCTGCAATGCGCCTTCCAGCAGGCCCATCTTTGCTTCTTGTGGATGGGAGCTGTGATGCTGGTCCATCACAGCTGATGGGGCACTGCCCCACCAAGCTCAGCTAGGCCTCCCACCGCCCGCCATCTTACTTACATCCAGCCCACTGGCTGTTGGCTTCCCCCTGCTTCAGTCTCAGTGCCGCCATTTGTGGAACCCAGCAGAGAGGAGAATGGGGGCAAAACTAGTTGCCTCTGCCTGTCGTTGACTCTGGCACCATCTACTGCTGGCCTTTCTACCAGTCCTCTGCCCCACCAGCCTAAGTGGGCACGGTCTACCATGAGATGAGGGAGAGAAGGCTGGAGGCTGGGGAAGTGACAGATTTGGCCTGGGTTTTTCAAAATTACCAATCCCTGATCAAAATGAGAAGGATTGTCAGTGTGCTTGTCAGTGGCTCCTGGCTAATTGCCCAGGAAATCAGAGAGGCAGAGAAAGAGCAAGCTTTTCAGGAACTCAAAGAAGCCCAAGAAATGCACCTACTCAGAACCAATGTTACTTCCCTATCAATGAGACTCCTCCTGCTGCTTATGGTGGCTGCTAAGGGCAAACTTCCTTTGGGCTCTCTGTTCAGCTATTCACATCGAACGTCTCATTTTGGAGAAGGTGGGGGCTCTGGTAGACTCTCCAGAGACAGCCGGTCATTTAGCTGCTGCACAGGCTGTCTCTGTCTGATGCCACCTTGTTCCTACTCTCCGCCACCCATTATTTCCCAACTCCTATCTTCTTCTAGCTTGTGCCCTGTCTCATGGGATGCGGGTGGCGCTGTGGTCTAAACCACTGAACCTTTTGGACTTGCCGATCAGGAGGTCGGCAGTTTGATTACCCATGACAGGGTGAGCTCCCGTCGCTCTGTCCCAGCTCCTGCCAACCTCGCAGTTCGGAAAGCACGCCAGTGCAAGTAGATAAATAGGTACCGCTGTGGTGGGAAGGTAAACGGCGTTTCCGTGTGCTCTGGTTTCCGTCACAGTGTTTTCTTGTGCCAGAAGCAGTTTAGTCATGCTGGCCACATGGCCCGGAAAGCTGTCTGTGGACAAAAGCCAGCTCCCTTGGCCTGAAAGCGAGATGATCGCCACAACCCCATAGTTGCCTTTGACTGGACTTAACAATCCAGGTGTCTTTACCTTTACCCACCCTGTCTCAAACCATGCTTGTAGGTCTATACTCTCTGCCCCTTCCTCCTCTCTGGAAAGCTCCTGGGGAGGCAGTCTCCACCAGTCCTCCTCAATTCCACTACCGATCTTCAGGAGGAGGTGGGTTTGCGGGCTTACGACCCCGCCCACACTCCCGC